AATCAGCAGGGGATTACATACTTATTTCCTTCACTGTATATATATATATATATATATATATATATATATATATATATATATATATATATATATATATATAACAATCTTCTAATGATATTGTGTTTTACACATATATATTCCCATTACATCATGATCATTGTTTTCAATCCTAGTCCATTCCGCATACACCATTTTTAACCCTTTTCGGAGTGCGCAAATACCTGTTCCAAAGATATTAATAGTTTGCAGTCCCAATGGATTATTTGAGTGATTTAGACCAGGGCTTGAAATTTCCACTCGCCTGCTCGCCAATGGCCAGTGGAAATTATGGTGGGGGCGAGTGTGTCCCCCAGGGCCGTCTTGCTGAGCAGGCTCAGAGCTCAGACTGGATCTGTCATTGGCACTGGGAGCCGTCAGACTGCTCAAAAGCTGAGCGCAGTGAAAGCAAAGGAAGGAGTGTGTGCTGTGCTCTCTGCCTCCCCCTAGAGTGCAGTACCTGGATCTGTGAGTGAGCTACGAAGTACTGCAACTTTTTATGGGGGGGGGGTGGTGCGCGTGTGTGTGTACGTGTACATGTGTGTGTGTTTGTGTGTCTGTGTATGCATGTACAATTGTGCATTATTATTATTATATTATATTTATATAGCGCTAAAAATTTTGCTCAGTACATGTGTCTGTGTGTATGTACATGTGTGTATCTGTACATGTGTCTGCGTGTATGTACATGTATGTGTGTGTGTACATGTGTCTGTGCATGTACGTGTGTGTGTGTTTGTGTGTATGTACGTACATGTGTCTGTGTGTACATGTGTCTGTGTATATGTGCATGTGTCTGTGTGTGTGTATTTCTGTGTATGTACATGTATCTGTGTGTATCGGTGTCTGTACCTGCCTGTGTGTGTATACATGTGTCTGTATGTGTGTGTGTGTACATGTGTCTCTGTGCGTGTGTGTACATGTTTCTGTGTGTGTCTGTGTGTGTGTGTGTGTGTGTGTGTGTGTGTGTGTACAGGTGTCCCTGTGTGTGTTTGTTGTTGGCGAATAACTCGAAGGCCTGGCTAGTAGCACAGGACTTGAAATTTTAAGCCCTGATTTAGACAATGGTTTTTCAGCATGGTTGTATTCCTTAAACACTTGAGCTTTGATAGATTTTACACATTTTTACACCATGGTAAAGGAAGGAACTCAAAGGAGGATTCAGGAAAACAGGCCCAAGAATTTGTTTGATCAATGATTTTAAATCAGCTGAATGGTGGCAGGGGGGACATGGATCCGATTTACTACAGTGTGAAGTGAGATGATCTGTAATTAAATACAATACAGTACACACAAAAATGCAGTCATGCCCAAGGGAATACTTGGGTATTGAAGTGAACAGGTTGCGTTACTGTGTTATATATCTCACCAAGCACTTTAGAAAAGTAGGCTGTACTTTACACCTTGCCCCTCTACAAATATCAACTTTGAGTACAGCTGCCTTCTATGGTTGCCTGCTGTGGAACATTTTTCTGCAGGCTGCCAGAGGATTCCAGCTCTGCGAAATTATAATGGATTTAATTTTGGTTGAGCACCTGGGCATTTGCCTCAAGCATAGAGTGTAGTGGCTACCCTGGGGACTGTTTATTAAATAATTAATCTTATATATTATTTTCTTTCCCTGCACTGTTCCAGTATAGTATTATTGACCATTCTGGCTCCCATGCTTTTTCAGTCATCTTGTTTTCATTTTTATATATTTCTCACTAATGCTTTCATTCAATTTATGTCTTGTGTTATCTTAGCTTGTCTCTTTAGAATGGTATTGATTCTAGGTATACATTTAGGGCCACTTTACATTTATGCATGGTGAAAAAGGCACATTACATGCATTGACGCACTGTGGTGCCATTAATTTTGAATAGCACCCCAACAAATTAAGGCAATGCACATGTGTTGTATCAAGCTGCATCACATGGCAATATACCTAAGTGCCTAGCAGTGTTTTGTGGGAAAACCGCTGTGACTTGTCTGATTTTTGGGACATTTTGGTTCATTGTACATAATGTGTTTTCAGGTGTTTTAAGGCACTAACAAACTGCACAAATGTAAATGGGCCCTTCATCATCTTTGCCTTTCTTCAAAATAACGAATCTTTTATTTTCACTAAACAGGTTTGAAGTTTGAATTTTTATTATGCATAGGTGTCTGCATGTAACCAACACTCTTTTATTAGCTATTCAATTTCCACTCTGTATTGTATAAGTATATTGTGGTTAGAAACAATGTTGCAATAACATGCTCTACTAGCATATAATCGTTATTGCTAGGTTAAGACAGAAACATGCTTTAAAAGGCAAAGAGATCCTTCAGATGTCAGCTATGTATCAGTGAATATACTCCATATTGTTCCTTCATGAAACAAAACTGGATAGTTGAGACTGGGTGTTTTTCGATATGTTTAATGGTTAGGGTGTGGAATTGCTGTGCAATATAATTATTAATAATTATTTTTTGACCAAGTGACAGTAAAGGAGAATAACCGTTGCTTGTTTTTCATGAATGAAAATAGTTTTTAGCTTACATAGTAGTCCATATATTTAATAATTTTTACACAAATCCAAAATATAATGTTATTATGTTAATTTAAAGTGATTGTAAGCCCTCACCTTGTAAAGCAACCCTTTCAGTTTAAAAAATAGAAATGAAAAGCAAAACATTTGTATACATATACAAAAAAACATTATATACACTGTTTTATCCTTTTTTATATGTGATTACATACCCCCTGTTCTCAGCTGCATAAGAGCTGGGGGAGGAGAAGTAGCAGCACACTGGTCTTTGCAGTGAAAGGCTGTGAAGGGGGGAGGGGTGTCAGCAGAAGTCTGATAATTGGAGGATAGCACACTGAGCTCCCAGCAAGCGAACTGACCACACTGTGCTCTAATGCCTAGTGTGATTAGTTTTAATAGGAAAGCAGAGGGATTGGAACACCAGGGATTTCACACAAAGAAAGCAATACAAGGAGAATAGAATACTTTTTCATACAAGTACATGATACAGAAGGCACATATCAGGAATATGAAATGTTGGGTTTATTTATTTTTGAAGTTGTAAAGCATGTGTACATACCTAATGCCCAGAGAAAGTATGTTTGACATGTAAAAGGATCCTTGGTGGTTGAAGAACTGTCTATGCATTTCATTTTTCTTCTACTGTTGTGGTATATTATTATCTGGTTGAGTGGTGTTTCTGTATAGGGTTATTTTTTTATTTGGATTAGATTAAAATCAATCCATCCCCAACAAAATCTGCTTGAACAAACTGCGGTTCACCTAGACCAAGTAACAGCTGCCTGACAAGTTTGTCAGTGTCTGAATTAATGTCACAATGTCATACACATTTTACACTGCAAGGGAATATATTAAATGATATTCTACAGTGTCCAGGTAGATACCAGTTTCATCAGCCCCTGATTCTATGCAGATAAACAACACATGATATTTAAATAACAACTGCCAAAATAAATTTATTTTCCCCTGAACAAAAATCACACTTTTACATTGATTCCCTCTCCTCTACATGTTTGTGATTACACTTCGTATTCACCAGATTCAATGCTGAGGGTATTTTCATTTAACTGAACATTTTTTCTAGGTTCGGGTTTTAGCTACTATGGAGTTGAATTACTAAAGAAGAGAATTTTCACTGCAAAGATAATGTTCTCTTAGGTTAGTTAAAAAGTCAAGGCTGTATTCACTTTGAAGACGTATTCCATGAGTTGAACACTAAGTTCCACTTCTCATAATATTTGTAAATCTTCTTGAAAAAGCTTTTTAACTTGACACATTCTTTTAGAGTTTCATATTATGAAAGCAAAATAAAAGACCAGATGTCCTTATGCTTTTAGCAGTTGACTGTTAGCTATACTATTTTTTCCTGTACATAATAAAAAATAATAAATTCTCTATCACTCGCTTTATATAACTAAACAACAGTTGCCAGTCTGTCACTTGACATATTGCTGCACCCCACTGTTTGACGTAGTACTGAAATGGGATTTTATTAACAAGGGCTCAAGTAAAAAGCTTTTTTTAACTAAAAGCTTTTTACTAGAGCCCTTGTTAATAAAATCCCATTGTGGATAAAAAACAACAACAGTGCCTGTGATTTGTATGGCCATAGACTCGGACCTTAAAGGTTAAGCCTCTGAAATGTCTTAATAGTTTCCACTTGTGTGAGAAAATTGAATTATGGATGCTGAATACAACCCACCCACTGAAAAAACATTTGATTTCTTTAATCAACTAAATCTCTTGGCAATTTTACAATCTATTGTTTCCTGATAACCAAATGCAGTTAATACATGTGATAAGAGTATTCCATATATGAACATATTTGTTACATGCCTATAATTATGTCTTTCTTCACATTTTAAAGCACCCTAACTGACCATCAAAAGTAACAGAGGATAAGACAAACTGTAACACTGCAGGGATGCTTGCAACACTTTTATTCCCATAGCTACAAACAATGTTGCAACTGTTCTAGCACCCATGGCAGTGTGTTGTAGTTTGTCCTAGCCTCTGTTTCAGCTTGATCTGCATGTAAACATGGTAATAATGGAATGAATATAGGAATTCGTGTGCTGAATAAATTGATTATACATATTACCACATACAATTTTAATAATACAATTTTTTCATAATAGTAATGTCTTAAAATATTAACTATTGACCACAGTAAGCAGGATAGCATGACATTACCGAGTCCCTGAGATTTTCTAAGATGTTATTGTTGCAGACAGTCTAAGATATGACCTGCACAAATTGGCTATAAGCATTTCTGCTATTCCATTACACAGAAACACCCTGAATCTTGTCTATAGCATGTCTACTGTATAATAGATTACATTATTGATCTGATAGAATACCACTGGGGAATATCTGCAATGAAGAACCCTACTTATTAGCAGCCGATTTACAGAGTGTGGTGGTTGATTATCTACAGTTAGTTTTACTGGTTTAATAGAGTTGTGTAGAATATTGTCTTTCTTCATTGGTTTCTGTATGTTGGTGGCCTTCTAGGGGTCCTGCAGAGGTGAAGGGGGTGATTGTCTCCAGAGATATCTCAGCCTCACATTCAAACTGCACACTAGTAGGCAATAATAAGTTCTTTTGGCTTCTACTTCCATGTGGATTGGATATAATAGATACTTGGTCAAAGCAATGTCCCTCCAAGTCTTCCTGATCCTGAGTCACCACATTGGGAAGCTGAGAGCTATTGAAAGTTACGGGTATATCCTTCTGGAAAGTGGTGTCATGGTGATAAGACACCAGCTCATTGCTGAAGTTGACAGCTTCCACATTTGTGTTAGAACAGAACCTATTACATCCCAATATGGTGGTGAAGGCTTTTCTAAAATCTGCATTAAATGCATAGATGACAGGATTTAAAGAGGAGTTTGCCCAACCAAACCAGACAAAGATACTAAAAGTGGTCTCACTGACACATGGAGGCTCTGGGTCACTGTCATTGGGGAGATCAATGTGACAAAAGGGCACCATGCAATTCAGAACAAAGAATGGTAACCAGCAGAAAACAAATACCCCCATAATGATAGACAAAGTCTTTAGGACTTTAGTCTCTTTCCTAAATGAGGTCTTCAAGGAGTTCTCATGAGGACAGTCTGGGTGGCAGCTCTGAGCGTGCTCTACAGCTCTTTCCAAAGAAGAGATCCTTCTGATCTGAGTCTGAGCTATCCTATAAATTCTGGTATAAGTCCCAATCATGATGACCACAGGTATGTAGAAGCTTATGAGGGAGGAAGATATGGCATAAGTCCGATTGAGGCTCGAGTCACAGTTCTCTGTCTGATTGGTGGCATCAGGCTCCATATCTGTCTCCTGGGACTTATGCCAGCTAAGTTGCACTGGTATAAAGGAGATCAGGATAGATAAAGTCCAGGCTACACCGATCATGATGAAAGCTACCCTTTGAGTCATTTTTCTCTCATACCTGAAGGGACTGGCAAATAGCCCAGTAGCGGTCCAGGCTGATGATGCACAGGTTGAGGATGGAAGCTGTGGAGCACATGATGTCAAAGGCGACCCATGTATCACAGAAGTCCCCAAACAGCCAATACCCTGCCACTTCAGTGACTGCCTTCCAGGGCATCACCAACAAAGCCACAAAGAGATCCGACACAGCCAAGGATATGACAAAGAAGTTGGTCACCTTGGACCTCAGGTGTCTGAACTTGATGACAGCCAGGCAAACCAGCGTGTTTCCTAGGAGGGTGGACAAGATGAGTAAGGACAACAGCAAGCCCGTCAGGGCTCGGAGACTCAAGTCCGTGCTGGCCACATCTAGATCTGCGTTCAACACGTGGATGGTGACATTGTAAGAGGAGAGGTTTTCCATGAGTTGAACACCAAGCTCCACTTCTCCAGAGATCCCGATACGGTCAGCGAGGACAGCAAAACCAGCCTGCCTTATGACAAAGCATGGTGATCTCTAACTGCAAAATCTCCAGCCAAGCCAAGGCTCTTCACATTATATTGTAGGTATTGAGTGAAGAAGCCACCAGCAGCCTTCTTTAGTCAATTCTTGCATGGGTATAATAGACGAAAGCATTAGCAACTGATTCCAAAATAATACAGGATTTAGTACATGATCCAGAGAAAACATCCAAGTTATGTGTTTAAAGGAAATCTCATTTGCCATTGATCCCTTAAAGCCATAGGAATCCCGGAAAGATTGCTGTGTGTGGGGTGTTCAGCACCTGGACAGCTCCCGATGGTGGACTTCATGGATGGAGAAGATGTAGCAGCATCCTCCACTGGCCGCTCTCTCCTACACTAGTCAGGTGTCCCGCTCACTGGCTGCATCTCCCCCTCGCTGGGATTATCAATCACACACTTGCTGCTACAGAATGCTCATGACTGAGGATTGGGCTGGTTTAAAAATAGATCCCTAGTCGTCTTCAGTGGAGCAGGTTCTCCTCTAGACTGAGTGTATTTTGTGTAATCTCAGCAGCACAGCCAGAGGCTACACTAGTGTGTCATTCATTTTTTTGGCTTTTATTAACACTTTCACTGTGTCATTTATATAGGCTGTTAAATCAGTGGATAGGACAGGGATACATATATCTTAGGATTTGTATTCGCTTATTATAGCATTGCAATGGAAGAAAGCTTTGCACACATTTGCAATGTTAATAATAATGATAATCAATACATGGATGCAATTAGTTGGCCAGTATATCTAGGAGTGGATCTAGAAAAATGTCACTGATAGACATCAAAGAGGGGGATTTGCTAAAACTGTCAAATGCATTTATCTTCTGGTACAAGATTAGCATATAAGCAAAATCAGAAAAAACTACTGCTCAGGGGAGACACACTGAAAGGCACATAGTAAATACAGAAATGCAAGTATATGTAGTACAACAGTTTTAAAGAACTTTTAAATAACAAAATGACCTCATGGTGTGTGCCAGGCAGAAGGTTTGAACAAGCCAGACCAGATATTAAAAGAGAAGTATGGCTTTTTATTTTTTTTTCCCCCATTATACTTATCTAGGTGGATGCAGCATTGGTCCAACACTGCATCTGTCCCCCGCCAGCTCCAAGGGTGAGAGTTCAGTGATCACATGACCGCTGATCGCTGAGTTCTCACAGCCGCTCTGACCAGAGAGCAGTGACTGTTAGGCAATGCTGTCTGCGGCTCACTGAGAGGCTGAGTCAGGTGCCGCTCCAGACTCTGTAGTGGATCTCGACTATGAAGTCGTGATCTTTCCCCAGCCTGGACCAGCTGAGTGACATCAGCCGACAGCAGGCTTCAGCCTGCTGTCAGCTGAAGACGGGTCACAGGAGTGCAGAATAAACTATGGCTTTGGCTGTACTTCAGATTTAAAAGAAAAAAAAGGGGGGAGGACAGGTGGGGCAGGTAGAGTTCCTGCAGGCTCGAGAACAGATATAGTTTACCAAAACTGGTTGGATGCAGGATCAGAGGAGCGTAAGACAACCACACTTTGAGGAACTTAAACTTGGAATCATGTAGGATGCTCATCATCTTTTTGCCAATTAGCAAATGCATTTTCCTTCAGACATCCAGCTTGGTCAAAGGAGAAAGGTTTGAAAAAAAATTATCCTAACAATTTTAACTAGGGATGAGCTCAGGGTACAATCCGAAACCAGATTCTACCTACTTGACCCTAGGCCAATTCTGACACATACAGTTGCAAGAAAAATTATGTGAACCCCTTGGCATTACGTGGAGTTTTGCATGAATTGGGCATAAAATATGCTCTGAACGTCATCTAAGTCACAACAATAGAAGAACACAGTCTGCTGAACATAATACTACACAAACATTAGATGTTGCCATGGTTTAATTGCACATAACATGTAAACATTCACAGTGCAGGGAGGAAAAAGTATGTGAACCTTTGGACTTAATAACTGGTTGACCCTCCTTTGGCAGCAATAACTTCAACCAAGCGTTTCCTGTAGTTGCAGATCAGACCTGCACAATGATCTGGAGTAATTTTGGACCACTCCTCTTCACAAAACTGTTTCAGTGTAGCAATATTCTTGGGATGTCTGGTGTGAATCGCTCTCTTAAGGTCACGCCACAGCATTTCAATCGGGTTGAGGTCAGGACTCTGACTGGGCCACTCCAGAAGGCGTATTCTGTGCTGTTGCAGCCATTGTTTTGTTGAATTACTTGTATGCTTTGGGTCATTGTCCTGTTGCATCACCCATCCTCTGCGGAGCTTCAGTTGGCGGACAGATGGTCCTACGTTTTCCTGCAAAATGTCTTGATAAACTCTGGAATTCATTTTCCCATCAATGACAACAATCCTTCCAGGCCCTGAGGCAGCAAAGCAGCCCCAAACCATGATGCTCCCTCCGCCATGTTTCACAGTGGGGATGATGTTGGTGTGCTGTGCCTTTTTTTCTCCACACATAGTGTTGTGTGTTCTTCCCAAACAACTCAATCTTGGTGTCATCTGTCCACAGTATATGTTGCCAGTAGTGCTGTGGAACATCCAGGTGCTCTTTTGCAAACTTCAAACGTGCTGCAATATTCTTTTTGGACAGCAATGGCTTCCTCCGTGGTGTCCTCCCATGTACTCCATTCTTGTTTAATGTTTTCCTTATTGTAGATGTGTCAACAAAAATGTTACCATGTGCCAGAGATTTCTGTAGGTCTTTAGCTGACACTCTGGGATTCTTCTTTACCTCATGCAGCATTCTGCGCTGTGCTCTTGCAGTCATTTTTACAGGACGACCACGCCTAGGGAGAGTAGCAACAGTGCTAAACTTTCTCCATTTGTAGACAGTCTGTCTTACCATGGACACATGAACATCAAGGCTTTTGGAGATACTTTTGTAACCCTTTCCAGCTTCATGCAAGTCAACAATTCTTGATCGTAGGTCTTCTGAGAGCTCTTTTCTGTGAGGCATGGTTCACATCAGACAGTGCTTCTTGAAACCAGTAAACCCAAAACAGGTGTGTGTTTTTTAAGAGCAGGACAGCTGTCAGCAACACATCCAATATCATCACACTGATTGGGGTCAAGGTTGGCTCACTCCTGGCTCCAATTAGCTCTGGGAGAAGTCATTAAGCTAGGGCCTCACATACTTTTTCCTCCCTGCACTGTGAATGTTTACATGTTATGTGCAAATAAACCATGGCAACATCTAATGTTTGTGTAGTATTATGTTCAGCAGACTGTGTTCTTCTATTGTTGTGACTTCGATGACGTTCAGAGCACATTTTATGCCCAATTCATGCAAAACTCCACGTAATGCCAAGGGGTTCACATACTTTTTCTTGCAACTGTATATGTACAAACCTGCATTTGGTTTCTAGAAAATTATTTAGAACCCCCAAACATTATATATTGTTTTGAAAGCAGAGACCTGGAGGTTAAGATGGTGGTTGTTATTTTTTATATCACATTATATTTGTACAGCCAGTTTTAAAACAAATCTGTGTAGGAAAAAATAAATGTTAATGAATTGTAGTGCACACAAACACAATATAATGCTCATTTTTTTTTGTACAATTTAAAAGGCAATGTTACACTGAGTAAATAGATACCTAACATGTCACGCCTTAAAATTATGCACGCCCGTGAAATGGCCATAGTAACTAAAAACTACCACAGGTGATGTTTTAAAAGCCTTTACAGGTTACCAGATTAAACTTGCACAGGAGGTCTGGTGCTAGTGTAGCGCAATTCCTGTAGGAACAGCAGGAATACTCCAAGCTCATTCATATGTTACTTCAATGACCAGTCTAGAGGGGTGTTGGGGTTTTTTAGTTTTTATTTTTGGAGAACTTGGGTAGGGAATGGGGAATTAGGTGGGATAGTCCAAAAACAGAAACTATGTAGATTTGAGGACTTTAAGTATTCTTTTGGATAAGCTATGAAGAAGTCCATGCTTTAAGCAAACAGTACACTTTAGCTTTAAGGCAGCAGTAGTAATAGTAGTAGCAAGCATGAGCAGAGTCCCTTGTAGTAGGAGGTTAAATGGACAAAGCTCTTCAGAAAATCAGCTGGTGTTCCCTTTAGCTAGACCCACAGCTGACTTTCTAGCACCAGAGGGGGTTAAGTAGCAAACATTTTCTAAGATCCTTTAGGGATATCTGTACTCACAAGGCCTGTAACGTACTTGATGGTGGAGCCTGAAGTGTTGGGAAAGGCCTCTCTTAGAGCCCTGGATCAGGAGTCCCTGGTAGGGTGACAGGAAATGCTGGTGCACAGGGTGGCACAAGTGCCTGATAAGTGTCTTGCTGGCTGGTGTTGGTGTGTGTCTGAAGTGGAGGAAAAACAGGACACGCTGTAAGCAGGACTGAAACCACTGAAGAACACAGGATAGCTGGTGCAGATGAGGATCAGGCACAAGATGGGGTCAAACAGTCTGAGTTTGCAACTAGCGATCAGATTGGGTTCAAGCGGTAGGCAGGAGAGTAGTCAGGAGTCAAGTCAAGGATGGTAACAACAGACAATAAGAGCAGAAGGAACAGCCAGAGATGTAATCCAGAGACAAGACAAGGGTTGGTACATGTGGCTTTCAGAG